CGAGAGGTAGCCCGAAATGCCTCACAAGTGTTAATTGGCTTCCCTACACTAAGTTCTTCAAGAAGGAATGTGGAAAATTACCACTGCACTGGCAGAGACGTATCGATACTATAGGTTCATATTTCGATTGATAAGAATAAAAAAGATGTGCGGTGTCGTGGGACACCGGATAGGAACGAAGTTCCTTATTATAAAAATATTAATTTTTAGTTCTATTCAAGGTATAATGAAAATAATTATTCGAGTATACATTTTTTATTATGATTTTTTTATTGATAAAAATATAAAAAAAAACGACTTTACAAAGTTCTCAACTTTATTTTATTCACAATGATTAATAAAAAAAAATATCTAATTAAAATGTGTTAATTTTAGTACGTTATTACAAAGTTAAGTCGTACACTGTGTGCATTACTAATAAAAATCTTACGTTACGGACGTTTTTTACCGGTTATGGTACCCCTCCGCATCGTCCCATAAGGAACTTCATTCCATCAAGCAAAATCTAAGTTTACATAATATATAACACGCCAATTTTGTAGTCAGCAAAACTCGATACACCGGTTTCGTCTAATTGAATATATCTCGTAAAACTATTTATTTGTTCCTAAAAAGCAATCCTCTCAGAGAGGTAGGTAATGCAAAACGAGCGTACCGCTTGCAGAAAACTCAATTGAGTTTTTTTTTTTTTTTTTAATTGCTTAGACGTCTTAAGGTCCTCACACGGATCACCTAGTGCCACTTGAAGTGTATCTCAAAATAATAGTAATTAGGGAAACAGACTTACGGATTAGCTTTTTGCTACACGATGCTTTTCCTTTATCGTTGAAGTCATCAGTTTCCGGTCCGGTGGTAGACTCTGCGAAGTGCTCTTGCTAGGGTTAGGGTTAGCAACGGCGTCAGGTTTGAGCTCCGTGAGTTCCACCTACTAGTTAAGGCTACGCTGAAATGGTCTCTCAAGATCATCAGCTTAGGTAGGAAAAAAGAAGAAGTCGTTTGTGATGATTTTTCAAGTTTTCTATTGCTTAAATGGGTGGACGTGCTCACAGCCCACCTGGTGTTAAGTGGTTACTGAAGCCCATAGACATCTACAACGTAAATTCACCCACCTTGAGATATAAGTTCTAAGATCTCAAGTATAGTTATAACGGCTGCCCCACCCTTCAAACCGAAACGCATTACTGTTTCACGGCAGAAATAAGCAGGGTGGTGGTACCTACCTGCGTACATAAGTACGTATTTTATTAGAAAAATCGGTATCTGCCTGTGCGATTTGAACATCGGCACAATTGGATCGATCGATACGAGTATTTCGATCATCTTAATCTTTAGGCCATGATGAAAAAATATATTATTACATTTTTTTTATTGCTCTGTTGCGTGGAAAAGGTCACAGCCCTTGGGTTATTAAGTCCAGAGCCCACTAAACCTATCGCATAGCCATCAAGACCTTTTTTTTTTCGGGCCGTGGGCCGAACCTCCTACGAGTTCCCCGCGCATAAGGGGCGCGCGGGGTATGTGAGACTCAACGATCTGCAGATGTTGAGAGCAGATCGCGGGCCCAAGGATTTTTGGGCCCACCCACTAAACGACTCCCCTGCACTCTTACACCCGGCGTCCGATCCCCTCCGAGGTCACAACCCGGATGAGGTAGGGGGGTTGCCGCCACTTATCTTGAGACATGACTTCTAAGTCTCATTTTTACAGTACAACGGCTGCCCCACTTTTCAAACGAAAACGCATCAATGCTTCCCACCAGAAATACGAAGGGCAGTGGTACGTACCCATGCGGGCTCTTAAGATGCCCTTCTATGAAATTCCCATTTCTATCCTCATTTCTATGAAAGTTAAGCAAGGACATAAGAACAAATGTTTGCGTATAGATTCGAAAAGTGATTGTGTGAAGTGAGAAATTTGTTTTGAGTTTGTTCTTTTTTGTTTTGTTTTGTTGTTGTTGTTTGTTATTCTTTTATCAATGCACCTACCATGCATTATCTCTGCACCACCCTATGGTCGACTGGAAGAGAATGCCCATGGCATTAAGTCCGCCTGTGTACAAGTTTTGTTTTGTGCATAAAGTATAAATAAATAAAATAAATAAAAAGTGATAAATTCAAATGAGTCTATTTTGAGTCATATTTTACGAGAATCATAGCAAAGGAATTTGTCATTAGTAATCCAAGTACATATAGGCATGTAACGAAAAACCCTCGGCATTTTTTTATTTATTGCTTAGATGAGTGGACGAGATCACAGCCCACCTTATATTAAGTGGTTACTGGAGGCCATAGACATCTACAACATAAATGCGCCACCCACCTTGAGATAATAATATAAGTTCTAAGGTCTCAGTATAGTTACAACGGCTGCCTCACCCTTCAAACCAAAACGCATTACTGCTTGACGGCAGAAATAGACGGAGCGGTGGTACCTACCCGTGCGGACTCACAAGAGGTCCTACCACCAGTTTTAAAACATTTAAAACTCTTTAGTTTTAAAAATAGTATATTGTGCACCAAGGGAGAAAACTCACTTCGATAAAGCGGCACGACACGAGAACCCTCTCATCGTGGCCGCCGGTAACTACATTCCCGATCCTGCGGACAGAATGGAAAGCAGTCGACGTCGCCCAAAACACGTCATCTCGGATCCTCCCGATCCACTAACGGTGCTTTTAGGTACTTCAAGCACCGCTCACCGTTCTCGTCGAACCCGTCGCTTGCGACGAAGGGCTCGACGAGTAAATTAACTCTCAGACACAGCCCACTGAGTTTCTCGCCGGATCTTCTCAGTGGGTCGCGTTTCCGATCCGGTGGTAGATTCTGCGAAGCACGACTCTTGCTAGGGTTCGTGTTAGCATCGTAGTCAGGTTTGAGCCCCGTGAGCTCACCCACAAACGTTAGGGCGAAGCTGAAATAGCCTCTCAAGGCTATCAGCATAGGTAGGAAAAAAAGAAAAAAAAAAAAAAAAAAAAACGGAGAAAAGTAGGACATTTCCTCCCGCGTGTAAAATATGCGTGATGGCAAACACGCAGGATGAGATGTCCTACTTTTTTCCCGCGGTGCACATACTATTTTTTCTCCTACCAGGTCGAAAGTTCGTGGAGTATCGAGCCGGGGACCAGGGGCAAAACCCCGGTGGCGTCCAGGGGCGAAGCCCTGGCGGGGGGTATAAAAAGCAATTTACCTGTTTTTTATTTTTAAATAAACTACTACTAATTGAATAAGAATTGTCTGATAAACTCATCTTTGTTTAATTACTTTACTATTAAATTTTATTGCCTTTTGTTTATTTTACTTTTACACTAAACACAATATTGCAAATTACCCGAGCACAACAATGGCGGAGAATTTTAGGTGCGTGAGAGCAGACCTAGACACCAACGCGCATGCGCACTTGTCAGTACCCAGAGAGGAAAAGTTACACTTTCTTCCCTGTACAGCGGGAGGAAGACCGAACTTTCGGCGTAGGTAGGAGAAAAATTTGTATTATTAAATCTAATTAAAATTAATTTGTTGTTTCTGCATCCAGTACTTAGACAAATACGTGAGATTCTGTGTCCTAGATCCGTGCTCGCCGCATGTCCCGTTCTTTGCACGACACACACAGACTACAACATATAAACACATATGCGTATACGTTATATTATATGTCAAGATAAATGGTGGCTGAAACTTGTGTTTATAAATGTTCGGACTACTAATGTATTCATATTACTGGGGTCTGGAACAAATTAAATTTTAATTGAATTTAATTCAACATAAGACGCGTATTCTCACAGTCATTATAGATATCAATCACACGCAATCTGTTGTTTTGAATTGATATTGATATACAAACTCACGTTCTATAAGGTGAGTTCTGCGAAAGGGTAGATCTCCAACCGAGCGATTCAGGTATTTGCTGATCTTAGGGTAGAAGCAACTTTCTACTTTAACCTTCGTCACTGCTAAATCACTCTCTTCCGAGAGAGGAGGTCGTGCCTAAAATATCCGTAGGTGCCAACGTCCGCACCGCGTCGAAAATACTGGTTATGGGCCGATGACCGAAGTCAAGCAACGGCGGGCGTGGTCAAAGCTATTTTATTTATTTATTTATTATTAGAACATACTTAGAAATGATTTCAACAGTCATTCCTTAAATTCTTATTCTTTGCGGATTCCTTTTTACAGGATATTATTACGTAATCTTGGAAGATTGTATGGACTTAAGTTGCATTATTTGCCGAGTTCTTTTTTTTTTATTGCTTAGATGGGTGGACGAGCTCACAACCCACCTGGTGTTAAGTGGTTACTGGAGCCCATAGACATCTACAACGTAAATGCGCCACCCGCCTTGAGATATAAGTTCTAAGATCTCAGTATAGTTACAACGGCTGCCCTACCCTTCAGACCGAAACGCATTACTGCTTCACGGCAGAAATAGGCAGGGCGGTGGTACCTACCCGCGCGGACTCACAAGAGGTCCTACCACCAGTAAAGTACGTTCGACGAGTACGGTTACCGGGGTCCCTAAGCCTGCTCCTAGTGTTAGAGCTGAAGGCGTCTAGCGCTAAGCCATGCATTCTGGGTACCAGTACTTACTTGTGGCAGGAGGGGCTCCTACGCCCAGCGCTGGCCCCTGTAGGAGACGGTCTCTATTGGTGATCTGACTGGAGGCGAGCGGCAAGACAAGTGTACTAGTTGGAGTATCGAACTAGCTAAAGCGCACAATCAGAAAACACTGACCCCGACCAAGAAGCTCGGTAAAGAAAATACGGGTTTTAGTTTATTCAACTTCAACATGTCCTGGCTTCCACCTATGACGCGTAGGCGGAAATCTGGCAACTACCTCTTGGTACTCAATTATTTCTTTAGAAAGAAATCATTTAGGTTTTAGCATCTTGTTTGTTTTGTTAAGGGTAAAATAGAGAAAAAGTTTAAAAAAAAATTACTATATCCATTGAATTCAATTTGTTTTATTAAAAGTACAAGTAAAGTAGAATACTGTAGTTATATCTATTTACTTACATTATCCAAATAATTTATGACTAAAATATATAACTTTAATTATAATAATTCTAAAATTTGATTCAGTTCTTAGTAATTTAAAAAAATGCAGAGTGAAAGTATCGATTTCTTTGGCAAAAGATTATTGTTTAGATCTATGATTTCTTGATGGGATATTCTTGATCACCAATCATGACGGAACTCTGCCTGGACGCCGACGTCTGGTCTTCTGTGACCGAATTCCTTCGAGACCATACCGCCAGCTGAGATGCGGGTGTTCTTGTCAAGGTCCCACACTCCTGAACCTGTGGCTGTCATCTGTGAGGGGAAAAATGAGTTAGTAGTTGCGGATTTGGATTCTGTGGATAGGCAGATGAGCTCACGGGCCATTTAGGTTTTAAGTTTTTCGAGGACCTCATGAACATTACAAGTTAAACGCCACCCACCCTAAAACAAGTAGTCGATATCTAAATTGTTAGTTTAGCAGCTTTTCCTTGTTCTATATACCACCCTCAGCAATACCCAACTATTTCTAACCAAGATTAAGGTGGTACCTACACGTAGATGTTCACAATACATGACACAATTGATCACTAGTGATTTAAAGTCGCATCTTTAATTTTTATTACAATACGTTACTTCCTACATGGTGAGGTTCGTTCGAGAACACGTGATAAATAGGTAATTTTAAAAAAAATATATGGGTCGTGCTGTAGGATTTCGGCACTGGCGTAATCGCATCATCTGCGACAAGTATACCAAGCGCCATGTCTTTAAGGCCACGATGATCCTGAATACCGACATCAGTCAAGACAACTTCAGAAGACTTCATAGCTTAACAAAATCGATTTGCCTCGGAAGATCAATTCAGATGATATGGATGATCTTACATGGTAATAGTCTATGATATCCAAATGATACAAGGACTTTAGACTTCCAGAGAAATTACCATGGATTTCGCACTGTTTGTCGCTAATATTACTTTCTCCTTAAGCTTCTAAGCAGCTTCTTCTAATTCTTCACTGGTAATAGGGTAGGAACAATTATCCGAAATCAACATCCTATCTATCGCTATGCAATAATTAGTTCAATCATTTGACAATTCTATACTCACTCCAGATCTGCCTCCGATCTGTCTATTTATATCAATAGCAGCTTCTGCATTCTTATTGGCCCAGTCTAGACGTCCACCGTAGTTTGTACTGTCCCCTGCAGGCCCCAGAACCCTGGTGCCGTAAGCCTGCCCGGTCAATTTGCCGCGGTCGTCATTGAAGATCTCTTTGTTGTAACCAGCTTTACCCTGGAATACAGATAATGTGGGTCATTGAACATTCGTTGGTTGTCTGAGGATTCTGCTTTTGTTGGGTCGTTTAGTTCTGCTTTTGGAAACAGAAAGTAAAACTCCTTATGCTTAAGCCGATCCAATTCAACAAATTAATAATTCCACTTACGGACAAGCAATGATTGGGCATTGACAACCATATGTTGCGAAATACGATGGCTTCTCAAACTACTTAGATTTATTGCTCGTGAAATGAGGGATTTTTAAATTTCAACTTAGACAGACCGGAATTCCGTTTCCATTATCATATCACGTAATTAATACTAGGAGCAGATTCTGCGAAGCACTGCCCTTACTAGGGCTAGTGTTAGCAACGTCCTCAGGTTAGAGCTCCGTGAGCCTACCTACTCTTCCACTTACTCTAGCATAACCCTCTAGGTTACCAGCTTAGCTAGGAAAAAAGGAGCAGAGCCAAGATATTGGCTATATCCTTATATGGTCATTTAATATATAGTAATAGTAATCGGCGAACAATGTCTATAAGTGATTGTGAAGTATATCCCGTGACGAGAGTTGTTAAGTTTTATACTCACAAAAAGCCCATCATCGTTTTGGCCCAAAGTGCCGAAGACCTTCCCTCCCCCCACTTGTTTGTCCCAGGTGACGTCACGCGGGTGTCGCTTTGAAAACTGACCGCTAACTGGATATCTGAAAAGCCATTCAAACAATGTAGCGTGCAGGGTTTGTGACTAACTCTTGTAATAAATATAAGACTATTGATGGTATTTAAAAAGATCTACTCACCCTTCTTCGTACTCCGAATAAACTTCTGCGTTGACACACACCAGGACCGTGGCGAAGAAATATAATAGTTTGGAATTCATTTTGACCTAAAACAATACGAAACATTTATTAGTATACTAGCTGACCCGGCAGACTTCGTAGTGCCTCAATCGATAAATAAAAGACTCAAACTTTTGTGTAAAAAGGAATCCGTCCGATTTTTATTTAATTCCGAGCATTTTCATATTTATCTACCTTTCCAACCTTCTCTGGACTATCACAAATAATTCAAGACCAAAATTAGCCAAATCGGTCCAGCCGTTCTCGAGTTTTAGCGAGACTAACGAACAGCAATTCATTTTTACATATATAGAAGATAGAAGATAATGTAAAGAATCTGATGTTAGGCTTATCCAACAATCTTACTATCTCTCTCTGATATGATTGTTAAACAAGGACGATCAGCCAAGGATACGGCAGCAGTCACCTTAATAAAATTGTTGCTATAGTCTTCGAGTATTTGTTGGAGACAACGAACATGCGTATTACATTAAAAAAATTAAGTGTCTTTTTTTTATTGCCTTTGTAGGCAGACAAGCATACGGCCCACCTGATGACAGGGACAATGCCAGGGGCAAAGCCAAGCCGCTGTCTACCAAATACTAACACGACACTAACCTTTTAACAAATATAAACAAAGTTGATAACGATACCGTGTTGAAGACTGGTTAAGTTAATATAAAGCACTTACTTGTGTCAGGTTCCGCTGCTTGAGACAGAATGTAACGAACTGTTGTGGGTGGTTGTATTTATATGACTCCCGCGTGTAGCAGGTGAAGTCCCCGACGTATGGGGATAAAGGAATCGTTATTTCATTTTAGGTTCTTTTCGCAGTTTATCTCACGAGATGCGTCATGGATGTCGATATGTTGAAATGAGCCAAGAATTTTTTTATGAATTTTGTTTTTTCTTTCTGAACACCAAAATTGTTTATCTGTAGTTTATAATTTGGTTAATGAGTTCACTGATCACGTGATGTTTAGCGGTTGCCAGGGTCCATAGTATTCATATTCACATTCAGTATCCATAATATTCATTTAAGATTGGATATTGAATTTTAATTGCAAAATCGTTTCCTCTTCTCTTCAAAGAAGAATCGGGAACAGTTTGATGGAGAAATAACGTGTAGAAGTACTACTAAGAACGAAGAGGAGGTTAAGTTCTTCTTATTAAGAGACAGTCTATGATTACTTTCGTGTAGAATATCTCCGTAAAAAAAATCAATTAACATATACGGCTATGACATGTCCTTCTTCAAACGAGGCTTGCGGAGAGTACTTAACGGTAGGCGGCGGCTTGGCTCTGCCCCTGGCATTGCTGACGTCCATGAGCGACGGTGACCACTTACCATCAGGTGGGCCGTATTTTTTATTATTTATTTTTTATTGTCTGCATACAAAGGCAATAAAAAAAGGGTGCGTGTACTTATTTATGTACGCGCGTAAGAAGCTATACTTTATTTTTATTAAATTTAGTCCTTATTTTTTAAATATTAAATAATTAATAATAAATATTTAATGTTAATAATTTAATAATATTTAGTATGAATTATAATAAATAATAATTTTGTCATTTATATAACTGAAATGAAAATAGTAAATGAATGGTAATAACACTTTTTTTTACGAGTGTACATGCGCGAAAGTTCACCTGCGGCTATATTCAGACTCGCCAAGTTACGTCGGTCGTATTGTAATGAGCGATTTAGTGGGCAACTTTATTTCTGTTAATTTTGTGTCAAGGTGCGCGCGCATCGTAAAATTTCACTCTCATCAATTTTTCATAACGCGCCTAAAGAAGTATAGCTTCAAAAACAGCCAATTCTTGAATACGCTTCATCGCGGACAACACCGTCCCGACGTTACGTTGAAACTATAATCATTACAATAACATAAACATGTGATAAGAAATGTGTCTAACTTATTCATTAAATCGAGGGGTGAAAGGCTAATTGATTTAAGCGACATTTTTGCAACTTCACAAGAGAGTCATTTAAAGTTTAAATTTTGAAAAAAAAAAAAAAAAACTTTTTCAGCTATTTAAATGGGACAGGTAAACAATAAACATAATTGAAGTTCAATTAAATACCATTGAATTGTTGATACTAATTCCAAATAAAACGGACACCTAATTACAATGATAAAAATGTATTTTATATTAAAATTTTAATATAAAAGTAAGCTTAGAATATTCTAAATTTCAGTACTTTTTAATTGCTGGACGTAAGCCCATATACGCCTAATTCATAATAGTGTTACGCCGGTAAGAGTAACGCCATCTATCGCCGAATAGTCGATCGAATATCGAAGGATTAAGTAGCATCTAGAACGCTCGAGAAGTCCAACGCCATCTATTGTCAGATAGCGGAAACACATTACTGGACTTGTGTGGAATGTTCTGGACGATTCTAGGGATTTCGTCTCGACTATTAAAGCGTTGCAGAGTTGGCACGCAGTCGAAAAAACCGGGACACCAGTGCGCAGAGGATCCAAATTGGTTGTGCTGTACAATTTGTCGAACCCAAATCGTGAGAGTGTGCTATCTAGTGTAGTTGTTACGGCGCGGAGACGTTCCGGACAACAGTACACAGGACCCGGGAACAGGTAAGTGGATTGACACTTTTTATTCCTAGACATTAGTCTAATACGGGTAGGTGTCGTCCAGCCTGTATAGCTGCGTCACCATTTTATTTAATAATAAAATTGGCGGACGTTAGCGCCATCAGAGTCTGGCCTCCTGTGTTTATTCCCAGTCCTTTCCTGCCCCTCGGGGTTAGGCGGGACTGAAGCCAAACCCGATTGGCTAATTATTAGCCCCGCAAGGGAATTGTGATGTCGGGACCTAGTCGGGACCAATGTGTAGTCGTGGATTACTTGTAAATACATTATAATAGATTATTAAATAAGTTGTTAAAGTAGTGTAAATCCATAGATCCCCACATAAGAAATTGTTTAGATTAGAGTAACAGTCCACCAACCAATAGGAAACGTTGTTCTTTATACTAAAATTTTTACACAGTGCAGACAAACTTTTTCATAACTACCCCCAATATCATTAATTTTTTCTCTGATTTCTATTTTTCAAGTAAAATTTGCCCATAGTTTATCTAACATTACTTGCAGTGCTGGCAGACGGCACCCATATTTGTAAGCCTCCATCCCATTACTTTTTAGTTATAATAGCCTAGTAATAGTTGTATTTGTCCATAGTTTTAGTTACAAATTGTTTATTAGATTGTAGTTCAGTAACTTAAATCCTTCTTTCCCTTTGGTCCCAACGGCTGTCCTGACTGGACTTAGTGGTTCCGCACCAATATTTTTTTCTTCTTTAATTTATTTTGTTTCCTTAGGTATTTTTAAATTTGTATCATACTCGATTTCTTGTTTTTATTAATACAAAGCGGTTAGGTGACCGAACCCTGTCCGCTGGGCGGTTGGGGGTAGCTGGTGCGGGGGCCAGGTTCATTTGCGGACCTGAAACTTTTGTTTTAGACCCCCAAAGTTCAGGGCACCCTGTCCGGTCGCCGCCGGCCTGTCTGCATTGATATTGATGTCACTATCAATATTAATGCTTCTTGCTGAAGGGTGTCACACCTCATAGTTGTCTGTATATATTAGTTTAGATGCTTATTTAGTTCAGTTTAGTATATTTTCTTATTATTCCATTTACCTAGCTCAGTTAATAAAATTTTAGAAGTGAGTTAACCACTTGTAGGTCATTGATGGTGGCGGGCCAGGAGATGGTTGGGTTATCGGTTTAATTAAATTAAACAATTAAATTATTACATTTATTCCAAATTATTAAACATAAATACATTAATTAATTTCTTTTACTTTTTTCTTTATTCTGATTTTATTTTACTTTTGTTTTATTTAGTCGTTGTATTCAGTGGTCTTCAACCGTAGTTGCCGTAGTCAACACTGCATTATCCCCGTCCTATTACTCATTTTTCTTTCTTCTTCTCGCATTGGGGCCGAGAGGGACCTGATGACCACAAATAAATAATAAGATAGCAACANAAGAAAAAAAACAAAAAAAAAAAAAAAAAAAAAAAAAAAAAAAAAAAAAAAAAAAAAAAAAAAAAAAAAAAAGTGTTGAATACAGTATTAATTTACATTTCGGTAGAATTTTTTATTCATCCCGAACCCCAGCGCGTAAAAATAGGTTATAAAGTTATTTCACTATAAAGAACTAATGATTGCATAGTATTTTTTTTCCTACCTATGCTGATAGCCTTGTGAGGCTATTTCAGCTTCATCCTAACGTGTATAGGTGAGTTCACGTGGCTCAAACCCCGGAGTGTTGCTAACACTGACCCTAGCAAGAACAGTGCTTCGCAGAATCTACCACCGGATCGGAAACGTGATCCACTGAGAAGATCCGGCGAGAAACTCAGTGTCTGTGGCTGCGTCTGTGGGTTAATTCCCTCGTCGAGCCCTTCGTCGCAAGAGCCGGCTCGATGAGGACGGTGACTGGTGCTTGTGGTGCCTAAAAGCACCGTTAATGGATCAGGAGGGTCCCGACGTCGACGGTTTACCATTCGGTCTACAGGATCGGGTATGTAGTTTCCAGCGGCCACGACAAGAGGGTTCTCATGTCGTGCCGCCTTCTCGAAGTGGCGCAGCGATGCCGACTGTAGATACTTACTAACAGAGTCGAGCTCCAGGTCATCGTGGAGATCCACGTTCCTCAGAAACTATGATGCTCCGACGGCTATCCTGCAGAATCGGGATTGAATAACCTGAAGGGGTTTCAAGGCGGTGTGGGCCGCGTGAGCGAACACTACGCTCGCATACGTCATGACGGGGCGTATGCAAGTTTTGTAGAGTGTCACCTTATTTCTAAGGGACATTTTACTTCTCCTGCATATCATCGGGTAGAGACGTCCTAGTATAAAGGCGGCACGGTCGCGTACCGTTTTGATGTGGGGATGAAATGTCATCCCTCTGTCGAGAGTGACGCCTAGGTATTTGACCTTCAAGGCCCACGGTATGGGCTGGCCAAAGAGAGTGATGGGGCTAACGGCGGAGGTGTTTGCACGCCCATT